CTCTGCCCATCCCGCTGTGCCCATCCCGGGCCGCTGCGCCCATCCCGCTGTGCCCATCCCGCTGTGCCCATCCCGGGCCGCTGTGCCCAGGCCGCTCTGCCCATCCCGCTCTGCCCATCCCGCTGTGCCCATCCCGCTGTGCCCCTCCCGCTGTGCCCATCCCGCTGTGCCCCTCCCGCTGTGCCCATCCCGCTGTGCCCCTCCCGCTGTGCCCATCCCGCTGTGCCCCTCCCGCTGTGCCCATCCCGCTGTGCCCCTCCCGCTGTGCCCATCCCGCTGTGCCCCTCCCGCTGTGCCCATCCCGCTGTGCCCCTCCCGCTGTGCCCATCCCGCTGTGCCCCTCCCGCTGTGCCCATCCCGCTGTGCCCCTCCCGCTGTGCCCATCCCGCTGTGCCCCTCCCGCTGTGCCCATCCCGCTGTGCCCCTCCCGCTGTGCCCATCCCGCTGTGCCCCTCCCGCTGTGCCCATCCCGCTGTGCCCCTCCCGCTGTGCCCATCCCGCTGTGCCCCTCCCGCTGTGCCCATCCCGCTGTGCCCCTCCCGCTGTGCCCATCCCGCTGTGCCCCTCCCGCTGTGCCCATCCCGCTGTGCCCCTCCCGCTGTGCCCATCCCGCTGTGCCCCTCCCGCTGTGCCCATCCCGCTGTGCCCCTCCCGCTGTGCCCATCCCGCTGTGCCCCTCCCGCTGTGCCCATCCCGCTGTGCCCCTCCCGCTGTGCCCATCCCGCTGTGCCCCTCCCGCTGTGCCCATCCCGCTGTGCCCCTCCCGCTGTGCCCATCCCGCTGTGCCCCTCCCGCTGTGCCCATCCCGCTGTGCCCCTCCCGCTGTGCCCATCCCGCTGTGCCCCTCCCGCTGTGCCCATCCCGCTGTGCCCCTCCCGCTGTGCCCATCCCGCTGTGCCCCTCCCGCTGTGCCCATCCCGCTGTGCCCCTCCCGCTGTGCCCATCCCGCTGTGCCCCTCCCGCTGTGCCCATCCCGCTGTGCCCCTCCCGCTGTGCCCATCCCGCTGTGCCCCTCCCGCTGTGCCCATCCCGCTGTGCCCCTCCCGCTGTGCCCATCCCGCTGTGCCCCTCCCGCTGTGCCCATCCCGCTGTGCCCCTCCCGCTGTGCCCATCCCGCTGTGCCCCTCCCGCTGTGCCCATCCCGCTGTGCCCCTCCCGCTGTGCCCATCCCGCTGTGCCCCTCCCGCTGTGCCCATCCCGCTGTGCCCCTCCCGCTGTGCCCATCCCGCTGTGCCCCTCCCGCTGTGCCCATCCCGCTGTGCCCCTCCCGCTGTGCCCATCCCGCTGTGCCCCTCCCGCTGTGCCCATCCCGGCCCGCTGCAGGGCCGGGCGCCGCGGTTCGCTCCGGTGCCCCGGCTCCGTGCCGCCCCCGGTGCCGCGCTGCCCGCGGCGCTGTCGGTCACCGTTTGCTTGCCGTCCCCAGCTCCCATCGCCACGTCCAGCACCATCTTCCAGCGGGGCTTCGAGCGGGCGCTGCGCAGGCAGAACAAGGAGCAGGTGCCCCCGGCCGCGGCCCCGGAGCCGCCGCCGCGGAGGCAGCACACCGGCAAGAGCGGCAAGAAGGCGCCGGGCGGCGACGCTGGAGCCCAGCCCGGCCGGTGCCGCTCGCTGGAGGAAGCCGTGAAAGCCGTGAGTGTGCCCGGCCCGCTGTTCCGGTGACCGGCGCCGTGCCGAGCCGGCCGTGCCCGAGCGCGGGAGGCGGCTGGAAGGGATCCCTGCTCCCCGCGAGGCTCTGCCGTGCTCTGGCCGGCTCTGCAGATCCTGTCTGTGTCACCGTTTGCTTGCCGTCCCCAGCTCCCATCGCCACGTCCAGCACCATCTTCCAGCGGGGCTTCGAGCGGGCGCTGCGCAGGCAGAACAAGGAGCAGGTGCCCCCGGCCGCGGCCCCGGAGCCGCCGCCGCGGAGGCAGCACACCGGCAAGAGCGGCAAGAAGGCGCCGGGCGGCGACGCTGGAGCCCAGCCCGGCCGGTGCCGCTCGCTGGAGGAAGCCGTGAAAGCCGTGAGTGTGCCCTGCCGGTACCGGCCCGCCGTTCCGGTGACCGGCGCCGTGCCGAGCCGGCCGTGCCCGAGCGCGGGAGGCGGCTGGAAGGGATCCCTGCTCCCCGCGAGGCTCTGCCGTGCTCTGGCCGGCTCTGCAGATCCTGTCTGTGTCTGCCGTGCCTGTCCTGGCCCTGCCTGGGCACGGCGGGCTCCAGAGCTGGCCCAGGGCTGGCAGGCTCAGCTCCCCGCCGTGCCCTGGGACCTCCACTCCCCCCAGTCAATGGGCTTCTCTCTGCGTCCCCCTGCGCTGCTGGGGCTTCTCTGCGTCGTCCCAGCAGCTCTGCACATCCAGCTTTGGCCCACAGTGACAGCACTGTGTGGCATTCCCGTGTCCCCAGGGCAGGCAGAGCTGTCCCAGTGCTCAGCAGGGACAGCCACTGTCAGGTCACGGACGGGGTTTTCATTCCCTGTGTGGCACCAGCTGCTTTGTGTGGAATTCCTCTCACGGGGTGGGGCTGAGGCGAGGTGCACACCCGGCTCAGTGAGGGAATCCTCTCTCAGGGAGCTCTCACGCAGTCTGAGCCTTGCAGCAAGCCCTGGTGGAGCAGCCCCACAGAGCATCCAGGTGTAAGAGCAGGGAATGGGCGTGCCTGGCTGGCAGTGCAGGAGAGGGCAGGGAGCTGCTGCCGCTGCCAGGTCTGGTGCTGTGGGTTGTTACCAGGTGGGTTTGCTTGCTCATGGCTGTTTCCTCCCTGGGACACTCTGGGTGTGCAGCGTGCACCTGGGATCTCCCCAGGTTTCTGCTTGCCACGAGCACGTCCTTGCTTTGGGCTGAGGGGCTCCCTGGCCAGGAGCCAGCTGCCCCAGGCAGCTCTGGCAGGGCTTTTCCACGTGGCCTGGGGATGGAGCTGGAAGCATCGCCCTCCGTGGCCCCTTAGGAGTTAACTTTCCCCTCCCTGTGCGTTTTGCCCAGTTCGTCTGGTTGAGCCTGTCTGTCTGTCTGTCTGTCCCTGGCAGCTGGACCTGGCGGACCTGCAGAAGGAGCTGCACAAGAGCCGCACTGTGTTCCCCGAGAACCCCTCGGTGTGGGTGAAGGACCTGGCTGGCTACCTCAACTACAAGCTGCAGGCACCCCGGAGCGACCCCGTGCTGAGCCAGCACCCCCACGGTCCGTGTGCCCTGCCCGGGGGTGCTGGGGCTCTGGGAGCAAAGCAGGGAGCCTCTGCTTGGCTCTGGGCTGTCCCCACAGGGGACAGCCTTCTCCTGGCCACACACACAGGGACACTGCCCGTGCTGTTGGAAAATTGGGGGGTCTGCAGTCAGCCCTTGTGCACGGGGGTCTGCCTGCTGCTGCTGCTGGGGACTTTGGGAGCTCACTCTCAGCTGTCTGCCCCCAGTGCTGGAGGGATGCTGGGGCATCCCTGTCCTGCCTGAGCAGCTGGGCCCCACTCACACTGAGAATGCCATTTCTGGCAAGGGGCAGGGGAACAGTGTCCTCTCCAGAGCCCTGTCCATGCCACAGCAGCAGCATTCCATGGGAGGCCATCCCTCAGGGCTGGGTTAGCTAGCTGCCTCTTACTGTATTTGCTGGGGATGTCCCAGCAAAGGCAGGAGTGATGAATCTGACTGCAGGTTCTCAGAAGGCTAATTTATTACTTTATGATACTATATTATATTAAAGAATACTGTATTACATTAAAGAATACAGAAAGGATACTTACTAAATGCTAAAAAGCTAATAATGAAAACTCGTGACCCTCTCCAGGATCTTGACACAGCTGGGCACTGAAAGACCAATGAGTGAAAACAACTCACAGCAAAAACCAGTTAAACAATCTCCAAACACATTCCACGCAGGAGAAGCAAATGAGATAAGAGTTGTTCCTTTTCTCTGAGGCTGCTCAGCTTCCCAGGAGAAAAATCTCTGAAAAATCCATTTGAATGCCACAGCCTCTGGCACGGGGTCCCTGGGGAGGAGGCCAGGGCTGCCCAGCTGGGATGAGGATGAGGATGAGGCACCCACCTCACACTGGGCTGGTTCCTCCAGCCCTGCTGGAGCTCTCCAGAGCAGGGTGTCCCTAAAGTGCCCTGTCTCCCCACCCCAGACTACCCGTACTGCCTGGTGAGCAAGGAGCTGAGGAGCATCATCCGCTCCCTGCTGGCCAAGGCCACGGACGTCCTGGAGCTCTTCTTTGACCACTGCATCTACACCATGCTGCAGGAGCTGGACAAGGCCCAAGGTCAGCCCCTGTGCTCCCCCGGGCTCTGCTCCTCCTGGCCTCTTTGGAATTCCTCCCTGGAGGCCGTGGCTGAGCAGGGCCTCCCCATCTCTGTGCCAGGGGAGTCCCTGCACGGCTACAGGATCTGCATCCAGGCCCTCCTGCTGTACAGGCCCCGGATTGCCACCACCAACCTGGGCAAGGTGAGCTGGGCTCGGTCTGTGGGTGCTGTAAGCCTGGGGGGCTGCTCCTCCCAAAGCCCTTGTACCTCCCTGCCCTCCCTGCCGAGGGACTGGTGTCCCCAGGGGGTTCTGCCTGCCCTACCCAGCAGCCCTGCACCCCCAGAGCTGGGTTTGGGGTTCCCTCTGTCCCCCTGCACCCCCAGAGCTGGGTTTGGGGTTCCCTCTGTCCCCCTGCACCCCCAGTGTTGGGTTTGGGGTTTCCTCTGCACCCCCAGAACTGGGTTTGGGGTTTCCCCTGCACCCCCAGAGCTGGGTTTGGGGTTCCCCCTGCACCCCCAGAGCTGGGTTTGGGGTTCCCCCTGCACCCCCAGAGCTGGGTTTGGGGTTCCCCCTGCACCCCCAGAGCTGGGTTTGGGGTTCCCCCTGCACCCCCAGAGCTGGGTTTGGGGTTCCCTCTGTCCCCCAGAACTGGGTTTGGGGTTCCCTCTGTCCCCCTGCACCCCAGAGCTGGGTTTGGGGTTCCCTCTGCACCCCAGAGCTGGGTTTGGGGTTCCCTCTGTCCCCCTGCACCCCAGAGCTGGGTTTGGGGTTTCCCCTGCACCCCCAGAGCTGGGTTTGGGGTTTCCCCTGCACCCCCAGAGCTGGGTTTGGGATTCCCCTGCACCCCCAGAGCTGGGTTTGGGGGTTTCCTGCACCCCCAGAGCTGGGTTTGGGGTTTCCCCTGT